AGCTTTAATAAAAGTATCAGACATGACAAACTGTAGCTTTCTATAAAGAAGTCACTTCTTACTATCCTACTGCCTGTCGATACATTTATTTTTGGCATTGCACAAGTCATGTCTTCTTTGACTGTTCATGACGTTAAAATACTAAATCCCTGGGATGTATTTTAGTTGATTTTAGTCTCTGATGCATGATTTTTTATTAATTGTTTTGGCTTTTAACTAGCTGTCAGTAACTGCGAGTACTCTCAAATCGTACTTTCTGTTTAATTTGACCTGTTGATACTATTTGTAATGCTTTTTTGTTATTTAATGTTAACATGGATCTTGTCTATATACCAGCTTTGATTATTTGGTATTTAAATACTACAAATTTTCACTTCTTCGTACAATGAACATCAAAATTATTTCATTTTTCCTTAGATGCTGTTCTTGGACCTGTACAGGAAGTTTTATCTAGCACTAATTGTATATTTTTATTGTTGATATTCACCCCATATGTACCAAGTGTTAGATTAGTTTTATTGATATTAAAGACATTTCTTGGTATTCCTAAACGGAAGATTTTATACACACAGAAGAAGAAGTATACTTAACAACAAAATTATTTTCATTTACCTGTGTTAAATATGACGCAGGTTTCTTCAAAAGTGATTATTTTCTATAAATTGTTTGAAATTTCACAGTAATATCATACTTTAATTTTGTTTAAACCTGGTTTTTTTAACTTTTGACTTTAATTATTTATCCCTTGTAATTTTCTTTTAACTGACTGTGTATTTACATTCAGGTGTCACAGGTCAAATTTATTAGTTCATTGTGTGTTAATTTACGTTTTTTGATTGAGTTAAGTCTTCCAATTGATATTTTATAGTGTGTTTTTCTATGTTGTGATGTTATACTATTGTTTCAGAAAAGGGAGAAGGTTTGGTACCATGAAGACGTTTAATCCCGCTGCAAATGTTTGCACCTGTACTAAGTCAGGAATCTGATTACAGTAGTTGTCGTCTGTTTATGTAGTTCATACGTGTTTCTCGTTTCTCGTTTTGATATAGATTAGACCGTTGGTGTTTCCGTTTGAATAGTTTTACACTAGTAATTTTTTGGGGCCCTTTATAGCTTGCTGTTCGGTGTGAGCCAATGCTCCGTGTTGAAGGCCGTACCTTGACCTATAATGGTTTACTTTTATAAATTGTAACTTGGATGGGAGTTGTCTCATTGGCACTCATACCACATCTTCCTATATCTACTTACTTACTATTAAAGAATTGAAGTTTATTAACAAAATGTATCATGCCAAGAAGAAATAAAGAATGGAGACTCGTGCTCATGTGTGCTTCAAATCATGCATTTGCAGTACTGTATGGGTAGCTTTTTTTCTGGCTTCACAGTTTAAATAAAATTAAATGTCATCATAATGTAAGAACGGAAACGTCACAACTTCCAACGTTGATTTGTTTAATGTAAACTTGTTATCCCACAAATAACCTCATTTTTAGAACATATTAAGATTAATTTTTAAATAGTTCCAAAGTAGGCAATGTTCACCAAAGGCAATTGACATCTGCACAATAAATATATAATAGTTAAAAGTTTGTGGTAGTATATATTTTCACACTTGACAATTACAGGTAATAGTCAATCTGTACCACTGTGTCTAAACTACCCCGGTAAAAAACGTTTGGACTCAATAGTATCTAATATCCAGTACGGTGACATACAAACAACAGACAGAGATAAGGTAGCATTTCTGTTTATTTATTTGTTGTTTTAATGATATTGAAGAATATACATACACATATAACTATTTTCGATTGTCAGATGTAATATTTTTACAACCGTTCTAGATTAAAGGAGAAATAAGTAAAAAGGCACATCAAAATGGTGAATTGTGTGAACCTTGCCTCGAATTTATCTATTTTTTTCTTTAAATTGTGCAAATTGTACGGAAAGAAAGATATTAACACGGAGATTGCAGACTAGTCACTATGATCACCTTCTGTGCATGGAACGAAAGAAATGGGTCATGTCAAAATTGAAGGACCCGGTTTTGTCAATGTGTACGTCCTTAAATTCACAAAGCAGACCCGGTTTTGTCATAGAAAATAATTAAGGAATAACAGTACTGTAGCTGAAGAGTTGCCACCGTCAATTGGCGATTTGACGGTCGCAAATGCAGTTTTACTGGCGACGCGTAGCGGAGACAGTAAAACGTCAATTTGCGACCGTCAAATCAAAATTGACGGTGGCAACTCTTCAACTACAGTACTGTTATTCCGATTCTAATGCATTACAAAAAGTAATAATACGTTAGAGCTTGAAAAAATGTTTAAATTTGAAATAAAAAAAAATCATCGAAACTTTATGAATGATCTTTGCACAAAGACGTTATGGCTAAACGTGACGTCATACAAATGAAAACTTACAACTTGGAGGTTATTACGTTACCTCTACGATTCAAATTTGGATGAAATCACATTAAAACGGCGATTTTGGGGTTGGTGTTATTTAATTTGCGATTATATTGTAGAAATCGAACATTTGTTATTCAATCTATTCAAAATGGCGGGTCTCTCCTTAGTTACGACTGGTCAACTGTGGATTTGACGGTAACTTTTAGCCAATGAAAAAAGTGGTTACATTAAAATTGCATTAGAATGCATAATAGCATGACGTAAATTAAAATCTGGCGTTCAACGGAAGTTTGAGGGCTCGTTGGAAAACAATTTCTTTCAGAGGATAACTTAAACACGTTTGAATCCGTAAACACTTGAATTCCTGCTATATTGGAACAAAACTAATTTCAATTTTGTTTTGTATAAAATAAAAAAGAAATGAAAGTTTCGTAACGCAAGTAGATTTTTTTATATCAATTATGTAAATTTAAGTGTTCAAACTTAAATAGTGTACGGCCTTGAAAATTTTTCATTACAAAGCAAGAGAATAATACAAATGTATATGCATGCCGAATCGCCCAAGAAAATGAATGTTCATGCGGCGCAAAGGGTCACAATAACAATGCGTTAAAAATCTTTTTACCCCTTCTTGTTACTATAATACTAAGTATAAATAAGTATAAAAGTCTCTAGCCATCCAGAAATTGCAACAATAATTATTTTATTAATAATTTTATAAATAAACGGTGTTTTTTTTTTATCTCTTCATTGGGTAATGATAATGGTACATTGACAAATTTTCTACAATTTAGGCATGTTGGTCAAGTTTATAATTGTCAATATGCAAGGGCGGACCGAGGATGGTCGAAAGGGGCGTATTCATAAAACGGATTTTATACCGCCGAGCGTAGCAAGTGGAATTTTTTTTTGGGACGATTTTATGCTAAAAAATCATATATAAATCGTGAAACGAAAAAACTTAGACATCCGCTAACCGCACATTTACTATAGAGTCTCTGTAATCAAATGAGTTAAGCCTTTTTCAACTGACTAATTTTAATAGTTTGTTCTTATGTTGTGCTGTTATGCCACTTTTTTTTAGGGGGGGGGGGGGGGGCGCTAACATGTTCAACCCGTTATTCTGTATGTGCCAGTACCGAATCCAGGAGGCTGTAATTCGGTTGTCTTTTGTTGCTGTATATCATATTTGTTTTTCGTTTTTTGTTTTGTACATAAATCAGGTCGTAAGTTTTCACATTTGGTTTTTTTTTTTACATTTTTCATTTCGGGGGCTTGCTATGCCGTATGGGCGTTTTTTATTGTCGGATACCATACGGTGACCTATATTTGCTAACTTTTACGTCATTTGGTCTCTGATGGAAAGTTGGCTCATTGTCATTTTCACGGGCTAAATGGCCACTTATGTTGTTCTAAATGAGACGAAGATTTGGGACGTTATAATGTTGCAAACCAACTTGTATTTATAAAAAGAAATAACTATTTCATGCCATACTCTATGCTCATTTTAACATAGGTAGGCATTATATTTGTTAATATTTTTAGACCAAGCGTTAGCAAAATATTATTTCGATTCTAATAGGAAAGTTTAGAACTTGTGTACTTCGAAGCGGACCTAAAGTACACGTTCGAAATGCAACCATTTTGATTTGAGGTAGCCAAAACGTTCTAAGTCTTTCTCTGACTGTCTGTCAATGAATGAATGAATGAGTAAATGATAGTAAATATATTGTAAACATAGCGTATAGTATAGTAAAGCATACTAGCTTTACTCTTTTGATAAATTGATATGGTAATACAATCATACCACATCTTCTCATTTTTAAATCATTACAAACTAGTATAGAAAACAAACACACATCATAAGGAATTAATGTAAGTGCATGCTATAAAGTATTTATTTCCATTTAAACTTAGTTCGAAGATAAGATCAATAAGGTATGCGTACTGCATTCTAAAATGTCTACTCCCTATTTCGAAAAGTTCACGTTTAAAATATAGAAATATATTTTAACACGACAGTTTTGTATTGCAATAACATCTTTATGACTCACATATTAAATTTCTTCCGACGGACAATGTTCAGATCCGTGTTAACGTAACTTTTCATAAATTTGTGGTGTCAAAACAAAACAAAACAAAACCGGGTCTTACACTGAGACAAAACCGGGTCCTTATGTAGTTAACAACATTGACGAAACAGGGTCCTTCCTTTTTGACATGACCCATTTCTTTCGTTCCTTGTACAGAAATACAAATATTGAGGTGCTCATAGAGACTAGTCATGTAATCTCCGTGTTAATATCTTTCTTTCCGTACTTTTCTTTCCGTACAATGTGCACAATTCAAAGAGAAATTAAACAAATTCACCATTTTGATGTGCCTTTTTACTTATTTCTCCATTAATCTAGAACGGTTGTATAAATTATTACATCTCACAATCGAAATAGTTATATGTGTATGTATATTCTTCAATACCATTAAAACAACAAATAAATAAACAGAAATTCTACCTTTTCTCTGTCTGTTGATTGTCCGTCACCGTGACCGGATATTAGACACTATTGAGTCCAAACATTTTTTGCCGGGGTAGTTTAGACACAGTGTGTACTGTAAATCAATAACGTCGGCCAGACATTATCATGTTGTCCAGTGGTCACGTGATGTCTAGGATATTTGTAAACGAAGATGACGCATTGGTTTGAAAAAGGTAAATTACAATTATTTTTGTTTTGTGTCTTAAAAGTATATAAAATTGTAAGTTAAGATAGTCATTATTGAAAACACCATAACAAAATTAGTTTAGTATTATATTTTTATCAACGCCGTTACGAACAATAACTTTCCAAATACGGTGCATGTATGTAACACTTGTTCTTCTATGGGCCAGTTTACATACGTATTACTTGTCTAAAGGGAAGGACTAGTTCATGTACAATACTAGTATTTAAGCATTCTATATAAAAATAAGAAGATGTGGTATGATTGTCATTAAGACAACTATCCACAAGAGTCCGGATGATTGAATCATTAGTTCATCGTACGGCCTTAAACAGTAAGCAAAACCATACCGTATACTTAACTATAGAAGATCCCTACATAACAAAATGTGATACAATTCCAGTTAATAACAAAACAATGTACGAAAAACAAAAATGATAGACATGGTTCAAAGACAACCACTGAATTACAGGTTCATAACTAAGGACATGCACATAAAAAATGTGACACAGTTAAACATGTTAGCAAGAACTCAACCCTCCCCTAATCTGAGACCGTTGGGTTGCATTGCAGTAACGTAAAGACCTATTCATCTCTTAGTCACATTAAAAAGAAATTAAATTTCGGATGATGAAAAAAGTAAAACAAAAATACCGAGCTCCAAGGCAAATTGGGATTATTCAAAACGAGGAAGTCCATAAAAAAATTAAAATCAAACGCTATCAATCAACCATACATAACAGTCTGTAGATGCACCAATATGCGTCAATGCAACGCAACCTAACGGCCAAAACAGCTAAAAATTTTAAGACGGGATACAAAGACAAATATAAAAGAGATATATGACGACAAAGTATAAATCATTCCTCCTTAAGTCGGCAATTGGGATATAAAAAAGCTTTAATCTCACCCGGGAAGGGCTGATCTATTGGAAATTGCAATCATCATGATTGTCATAATATTCCGATTTTAGAGGACTCAAATAATTTTTCGCCATAGGAATATGAATAATAAAGAAATGAATTAAACATTCTGGTGTTTATTAGTATAAATGTTATATTACAATAAAGATGTAAAAAATTGTATGCGTGAATATATTATTAGTCTTTATATTCACCTACGTGTGTATGGGATAATGCAGGGAGCACTAGCATTTCTTTGCATACCATATATATTACGGCAACTTTTGGAACTTTTATTTCATAATTGTAACACACAATTTTGCCTTTGAAATTTTAAATCATAAAAAGAGAAGGAAATGTCATTTTTTCTATATATGCGTAAGCTTTTTCAAACTATTTACAAATGTCAATAAGTTAATGTTTCGAAAACAAAAGAATTAATGAAAATTTAAACAACTGAATTATTCAATAATGTATGCAATTAAAAGAAAAAGCAGAGATACCGCACTTTAGCGCGTTCGATGTTCTTTACTGAAAACACATTCACGTTCGAGAAAAATTGCAGTCAAAAGTTTGAAAGTTGAAGAAATACGAAAAAATTGAGAGTAGAAAAGAGACAAATACCTAAAATAATACATGGTTATGTTTGATCGAAGGAACTGGGACAATTGTTTTAGTAAATAGAATTTATGTTATTGATAAATAAAACTGATGTTGTTTTTTTTTTCAGTGCTAAATCTTTTATTGTGGAGTGTGCTTGTGTATGAAGCATTGGATTTTCAAGTATCACCTAGATTATTGATAAATTTATTCTACATATTCATCGTTTTGACATTTATTGCGGTTAAATTAACTCAAATTCCATTTCAAGAACTAGCATCTTACACAATCATTGGTGTTTATTCTTATTTCTCAAATATTGCTATTTTTTTGCCAAATATGGATGACATTGGAGTAGTGAACACTCCCGAAAATTTCATGGACGAGGATATCAATTCTCTACAAATGTTTGGAGTAATTTTATTATTTTCCTGTGATGGTTATAGAAGTTTCATCATTTGGATAAGTTGTGTTTTGGTTTTATCTTATGCTATTCATAAAGCGAATCAACAGGAGGAAAATGGAGCGAGTTCGGAGAGAAACGAGAGTTCTCGACTTTTCCATATGATAATCGTTACCTGGCTTTTGCTAACATTATTATACACTTTCTCAGTTCTTAATTCATTATATAGTGCCGTCTTAATTTTGTTGAGTAGTGACACGTTTTGGAAGAATTTATCGCTGCGTTTTGAACATTTTACGCTATTCCTAAACGTAGCCTGGCAAATTTATGTCTTTCGAGTTGTAATATTTTCCTTAACAGTCTTCAACATATATTTAAACATATACTTGAATAGCTCTTCCAGTTTTAAATTGACAGCCATTGCTGTCATAGTTTTATTCAAATTTTATTATGACTCTACTGTGAAAATACTAGAAATGTTTTACAGAAAAGTACGTATATCAGCTCATTCGCACCCAGTTCCAATTGGCCAATTGCAACGACACTCAGATCCATGTCCAGTTTGTTTATCTCCAATGATATCTCCTAATATCACACGGTGTAAACATTTGTTTCATGAAAGTTGTTTAGATTTGTGTTTGCAAAGACAGCCTTCATGTCCAGTTTGTCGACAATTATTAATAAAATGAGTATAATTCCGTGCAATCTTATTCATCATTATAGCCATGTTTCTTCTGTGTTAAGATTGATTTTTTTTTTCATCTGCATTATTTGCCCCGTATCTTATTTTCTTTATTGGCTGGAGTGGTATTTAAACTTCAAGTTACGATTTTAAGTTGATAAACTAATATCAAGAGGAATGAATAAATGTTTTTGATTGATCTTTTATATTACGATTTTTTAAAAGAGACCTCTCTCAATAAAATAAAATTGAGAATGGAAATGCGGAATGTGTCAAAGAGACAACAGCCCGACCAAAGAGCAGAAAACAGCCGAAGGCCACCAATGGGTCTTCAACACAGCGAGAAAATTCCGCACCCGGAGGCGGGCTTCAGCTGGCCCCTAAACAAAAATGTGTACTAGTTCAATGAAAATGGACGTCACACTAAACACCAAAACATATAAATGAACTAAAATTAAAAAAAACATACAAGACTAATAAAGGCCAGAGGCTCCTGATTTGGGACAGGCGCAAAAATGCGGCGGTGTTAAACATGTTTTGTGAGATCTCAACCCTCGCCCTATACCTCTAGCCAATGTAGAATAAACAAACACACAGCAATACGCACAGTAAAACTCAGTTTAAAATAAGTCCGAGTCCGATGTCAGAAAAGGTAACAAAAGAAACTAAGCAAAATGACAATGATGCATGCATTAACAAAGTACTACCAGCAGTTACTGAAATGCCAGCTCCAGACCTCAATTAAACTGATTGAAAGATTATGTTTTCACCATATGAAAATCAAGCACAATCCTTCCCGTTTGGGGTTTAGTACCATACCATCATATGAGAAGAACATAACCCGTATCATGCCAAAAACTGGTTGTTTTTATTAACGTTTCTTGCCATTTCATATCATATAATTTTTTCTTCCTAGGTGTCATACATTGACTTGATTACGTCGTCTCTTAGAACGTTTCGTAACAGTGACAGTTCTCAGCTCTGCATGTTGTCAGTCCTACTTGTAGCTACATAGGAGAATATTACAAAACTTCAATATCCTTTCACATCCTAACAGTGACTTATGAATAGAAATGAATACGTAGGTACCTGGATTTCTCTCATTCGGCAATAAAGAGCAATGATGAAAAGGGGACCTCTGTTTTGTAAGCTGGATTTATAAATACGCAGCTACGTTCATTAGGAATGAGGATGTTAAATCCGATGCCCCGTGTTAGGACAATGCCACACTTTATTAAGTTAAATAAATTTTGCAACAATTTTTTGAGAGATCCGTAGGTGGGCTGTTACAGGCAAAATCCCGTTCCTATCAAACAAACCTTTTTTTTTCTACTACAGTTCACACTTCCCGCCCTTCACCGCACTTTGCAGAAACTACCAACTTTATGTATTGTAAACAACACTATCAATCAATCGAAAATTTACATTATTTCACAACAAACATGAATTATCTTAAGTTTATTAATGGTGAACATTAGACTGGTCGAGTATTTCATCCTCAGTTAATTTTACCTTCAATATGATCATTATTACAGCAATACGTGGACAGACACTATCATGCATTTTAACCCAACTAAAACCGATGGAGAAAATACATTAAAGGCTTGACAAGAGTGCTTACTTTTATTCAAGGCCACTAAAATATACAGCTCAACTTTTAATAATGTATTAGTCAACTTATTGTCATTTCACCGACCCCGTTGTTTTCATTGTCAAACCAAATCGATAGGCCGGTTGTTGCAGCAAAAGTAAGGAGTGTACATTAAAACATGTATAGAAATAAGGTGACCCTGACTTTAAATTATTGAGAAATAAACTGCATAATATATGGTGAAAGTAATGATTACCGAAACCACAAAATTAAACAAGACTCCAACAATTCTGAGATGAATCTTAAGGAAGACACACATGAGTAAGCTTTGAATGATACATAATCACTTATTGGTCAAACTTCCGCTATTTTAAAAGGTATCTCAGAGGTCATCTTGAAGTCCACACCTTCGTCCATTGTGCTAAAATTGTGTTACAGATTCTTTAAAATTGTTTGAATGTACAAGCTCAAGCTTGAATGAAAATTTTAGTAATTTTTATAACAAGTGACCTTGATAGGGTGAGGTCTCTATTTTATTTCGACGTAACATAGGTCATCTTTCGTCCACTACGTAATAGAGGTCATTCTTCGTCCATCGGGACAAACCTGAATGATGGCTCTGCGTATTAGACAACATTTTAGTTTTATTCAAGAATAGAACAGCAGATGGTCGACCTATTGTTCAGATCAAAGCAGGCAGGGTCTTACCTAAGGACAAATTTTAACCTTTCTCAACTAAATAAACTATGGTTTAATTTGAACATAATGATTTTAAATACAACATTTTCCATCTTGATAAAATAGAATTCTAATCTTTTCATTTCTTATTGTTATATTAATAGTTATTAACAGCAAAACTATACTAATATCGACAGCAAATACTTAAAATATGGTTAGTATGCACCTGATTATATATATACGTATTATATTTGAACATTGTTAGATTTTACACTTATACAGGTATACTTTATAGAAATATATTTTGATGGAAAAAATGAAGCCATTGTATTATCATCATTTTCGTTATTATTATTATTATTTTATTATTATTATTATTTTGGATGTGTTCTATGACAGTTTCCGTATTATTGATTTTGTATATTTTGGAGAGGGAGAGGGTTTACGTTCGGACGAGTTTCCAAACTTTTCATGTACCTATTATATCGATTACGTGTTACAAATCCTTAAAGGACATAGACTACTGATCTCATGTTCGAATTTGTCGACGTTGAAACAAGGAAAGCGACCAATGCACATTAAGATGGTATGGATGGATGACTGCTTAATGTCCAGTTGCAAATTAAAAGACATTCATCAAGAGAATATGTTAATGCTATATGAATATGAAACCTGCTTGGACTAGGCCGACACGCTGTTTTATGCTAATTCATAAAGTTATAGTCCACAGGAAGACATGTCATCCTACCCGGAATCATTATTATGAATCCGTGTCGACCAGTCTTTGGTCTTACTCCTAAAAACCGCGTGCTTAGCAGAGAAGCAGCAAATACAATTTTCCGGCCAGGGATCGAACCTATACGATATGTTAGTATAAAATAAAAAAATGACAGAATTTTGTCATACTTTGCCATATTGTAGTTGAATCGTGCTATTTTACAAATATGAAATAAAGTATAGGTCACCGAGCTTTTTTTCAAGATAAAGGTTGTGACCACTCTCCCCATTCTAAATTTAAAGACAGATTGAAATAATAATTAAGTCCAACTTTGTTTCACTAAAAAGAAAGGCCAACGCAGATACACATGTCTCGTTTAAATAGGGATAAACCATACTTATTTTATATAAAAAAACAATTCGATTCAAGAAAAAAATCTCTGAAACTGACATCTTCAAGATACGTGATGTTTTTTTATTGACAACATATTAATACGTTTTGAGGACGTGTTTTTAAAAAAAAATCTACATTCTTTTGGGAACCAACTGTGCTTGTCTTCTTGTTGCCTTGTTCCTTTTTCATAGGAGTATATATCTCCCAATTGAAATGATATTCCAGAGCTTGCGTTTCTTATCGTGATTTCTTTGAAGGTTGGTACTTACACGGAAGTAATTGACAATAGAGTTCGAAGTGGTACGGTTCATCGCTTCTATAACTGTCGAACTACTCGTGATGGCGTATAACAAGTAGTTTGATCGTTTGTTTTGTAGGGCTATGGATATGTTCCATTTTTTGTTGTACCACAATCATTGCCTCTTTCCCTCGATTGTGATTTACCGAGTGGTATCAACTTGATACTATAGTTCCTAACTGGGATAAAAGGGTACACTCAGGGTACACTCAGAAAAACTGTTCTTAGACCACATTGCTACATTTTATACCGGCTGATTAATGTCGGATCTGTCTGTTCTGCTCTTGTATTGTGTTTAGACTTTGGTATATTTTTTGTGACTTTGAAATTTATTCACAGTACAATACTTTAAGTACCACTTAAGTCGACGCTAGGGGCCGTCTTGACCTTGTTGTAGGGTATGAATGATTCTTTCATTGTTGATGACCCTCAAGCGACTGTCAAGATGAAGAACAGGAAAAAAAACCCTGTTCATTGATAATTTTTATACCTTTTTCTATGTAGTGTGTGCGATTTTGTCCCATGCACATTTACTCCATATCCCTTTATTTTCTATTTAAGGGCCTGGACACGGCTTAATGCAAGTTAAGCCCTTCAATTCAATGTGAAAGGTCGTATGGCAATACATGATTTTTCTTTTTAAATGATTTGATTCCGGGAGATTAGTTGTCTCACTTTAATTAAACCCATGTCAGCTTTTTAGTTTCATTTACAGAAAAGAGAGCCAGTCTTGTATTCTTTAATATAAAGTTTAATTTTCCATGAAAAAAAACGACAAATTTTTCTATGTCCGGTAGCATCGAATCTTCTCAAACCATTTTTCGAACAATATCTGGACATCGGTGGACATGCAACATTGCCAAACCACACAATCTTTCACCCGTCATCGTTGATCTTTCCCAAGTCGTAAGTCTACTCAAAGCAGAGAATGAACGTTTACAGATGTTACGAGAAGAATCAACAACAGCTTAATATTGGACAACTGAAGCGTTAGTCATAAAGATTGATTGCTTGATTGATTGGTGTTCGCTTAACGCCGCCCCAGAACAAAGCGAGAGCTAATTTCAAATAATGTTACAATTTAAAGTAGGTTTTAAAATTAGACAAAAGGTCCTTAAATATAATAAAACTCAAGTTTAAAACAAACGACAAACAATAGACCATCAACACTGAAAACTAAAAATAAATAAAAACATGGATCCTGAAATACAGGGGACGACGTCAGAGGGTAAACAGAACTTGCTTCTTGCAAGACACTCGCCGTGAAAACAATTTGATATGAAGACAAGCTTTTGTTTCAACTCATCATTTTTTGTTTTCGAAATTTTCAACAT